ACCCAGAGGGGCGGTGGCCCCCCAGCGGCTGGGCCAGCCATAGTGCCCCAGCAGACCCAGAAGCTACAGAGCCCAGGCAGCCACAGAGCTCCAGCCTGGGGAGCCATAGCTGGGAATGCAGCAGCAGGGCTCAGCTTGAGTCCTAGCTGGAGGCAGTATGGGCCATTTTGGGAGAGACTTCCCCTTGTTCCGCAAATCCTCTTGTTCGGGACCAGTCAGGTCCTCCGTGTGCCAGACGAGGGAGGTCCAACCTGTACTGTGTCATTATCTAGTTACTCACTTAAAAAGTGAAATATATTCAAGTTGACCATCAGTCAAGTCTTAGAAGAAACTGATCAAGAATCAAAACAAATTGAATTGGTTTGATTAAAATGATGAAAAGAAAGCCTTATGCCAATAGTAACAACACAAAGTTGTTTTGCAATTCCCTGAGAGGCATTTATGGTAGGGATGTTAAATTTAGTTTAATGAACTAATTGACTAGTCTATGGATTTTCCATCAACTGGGCAATAAGTGGGTTACTTCCCAGCGGGGTTACTTCCCAGTCCAGGATCTAATGCCACTATGGCTCTGCCTTTTAAATGTATTAAGAGCATGTCGGATATTTATACGTTAAAAAGGTTTTTGTGTGTGTGTGTGAGAGAGAGAGAGAGAGAGAGAGAGAGAGAACCTAGCGCAAGCAGGAATCAGCTGTCCTGGCTCATGCTGGGTTCCCCTCGCTGCACTTCTGATTTTTAAATGTTTTTAAAGCAGAGGCACAGATTCTGGGACTGAGCACAAGCTGGGAATCAGCTGATACCCAGCTCGTGCCCGGTCCCCACTACCTCCCTGCCTCCCATGCCACCCATGGAGACAGTGCTGGGGGAGAAACTGGCTTTTAAGATGGTTCCCCCTAGCACCAGCTCCTCCCCCATGCTGCCTCTGAAAAAGGCAGAAAGGGGCATGGAGCGACTAGTTGAGGGACTAGTCATTTATATTCCTAATTTATGGTCCATTGAAATTGAGACTAGCACCACTGAAGAGTTCAGATTAATATACAAAAAGGTAACAAATCCTCATTGGTCTCTTCTTTGCCTCCATTCTGAATGCAACTGATAGTTTTCAACATACATATAAATTGAAGAAGCCAGGCAGTTGGGGCACTTGGTTGCAGCTGCTCCCATCTGGGCTCCTGGGACTCTCCTGCAAGTTGCCTTGCTAAGAAGCAGGCAGCCAGGCAGGTTAAAGGGGCTGGTTGGGGGCGTGCAGCTATGCATATCCAGAACTCTGCTGCTCTTCTTCCCCTGACAATCAGGGAATGAGAGGAAAGCGCACACTTTGAATGCTTTCCTCTTGCTCCCAGCTGCAGAGCTGAGGGAAGGGGCAAAGGAGGAATGTAGCATGCTCTGCACTTCCCCCTCACTTGCTGATTGTCAGGAGAAAAGGAATAGCAGACGCAACTTAGTATTTGTGGCCACAGCTCCCCACCCCTGAAATGGTGCCCTTGCCCCTCTCCACTTACCCTTATACTCCTCAGCCTCCTCCCTTGATGCCTGCACTCCTCTCATACCCTGAGCTCCTCCTCATACCACAGTACCTGTAAGAAACGTAAGTTACTTTCACCCCTGCGGGGAAGAAAATCACAGCTTCATGTTATTCAAGCTATTGAGTGCCAATAAACATACACTGCTGTCAATCTATGTCATAATCAGAAATACTCTGGATACAGGTCACTCTTTTGCCCAAGCTGCAGATGAACATTGCTGTTTCTGTACCTATACTCTCAAAATTGTGAGCTAACAGAAGTCTCATTAGATTTACTCATCTCCAAATTTTGAGTGACAACTGGGTACTCACTTTGAAAAAGTCCTTAAGCTCCAGAAAAGTCACTGAAAGCCACTTTATAGCAAGAATTGGAGGATCTAGATAACAGTGCACTATTCCATAAACTCTTTCATTATGCAAATTAGGAGAATGAAATACTTAATAAAGATAACCTTTAATGCAGAGGTTGGCAATAATTTTAACAGGGGGACCACTCCAAGAATTTTGGTAAGTGGTCATGGATCACACTTTTCTATTATATTAATGGAGAGGGTGTGAGGTCTAGGATGGTGTTTGGCTGCAGATGGAAGCTGCAGGCAGAGGACTGGGATGTAGGAGGGAATACAGGATCCAGGAGGGATTTGGGAGCAGGAAAGAGTTTCTCTATGGGGCAGGAGGTTGGGATGTGAAAGAAGGTGTGAGGTGCAAGCTCTGGTCCTGGCCAGAAAGTGCCTATCAAAAGCAGCTCCCAGGCAGTGGTGCACTCAGGCAGGCAGGCTACCTGCATGTCATGATGGCCCCATGCAACTCATCACAGGGGCTAGCTGCTACTGGAAAATATCTGTCTGTGTGCCCCTGGTGGGGAGGAAAACAGCAGGTCTCTGCATGCTGCCCATGTCCATGAGCACTGCCCCTGCAGCTCTCATTGGCTAATTTCTATAATGATGGTGCTGGGGGTGGAGGCACTGTATGGAAACCCACTGCTTCCCACCCTCCCAAAGGGGCATGCAAAGACATGGATGCTAGCAACAGCCAGCTTCTCCTGAGAGTGGTGTATTTGAGTCTGCGACAGGCAGACAGTTGGCCTGAATGCTGTATTGTGGGACTTTCAGCAACCTAGAGGGTCATGGTCCGATCCATGGACCATATTTTGCCCACTCCTGCATTAATACATAAGGAGAAATCAAGCACTATAAGTATAAAGATTTTGTATTAAAAAGACAGGCATATGAATGCAGACTATTCTAATATATGTATCAATCCTGGGTGCTACAGCGTGACTATCCATAGATTGCTGCAAGTCCCACTTCCTCCTAGTTCTACTGGTCCCTGAAGAAATAATTCTTGGTCTCATATATGCAACCACTATATTAGTCATTCAATTGTCACTGATTGCCAGAGCCAGAAGAGTACTCAGAAGTCACCTTCTACAGGACAGGCCCAACAAGGAAAATATCAGAAAACCACTGGTTATCACTTACAGCCCCAAGCTAAACCCTTCCAGTGCATCATTGACAATCTACAACCTATGCTGAAAAATAATCCCTCAGTCTCACAGAGTTTGGGAGGCAGGCCAGTCCTTACTTATACATGTCCATCCCTGATCTGAAGCATATACTCACCAGCAACCACACACACCACACCACAGAAACACTAACACTGGAGCCTATCCCTGCAACAAACTCCATTCCAACTCTGCCCACATATCTATTCTAGTGACACCTAACCACATCAACCGCACCATCAGGGGCTCATCCACCTGTACACCTGTTAATGTGATTTATGGCATCATGTGCCAACAATGCCTCTCTGCCTTGTATATTGGCAAAACCAGGCAGTCTCTTTGCCAAAGGATAAATGGACACAAATCAGACATCAAGAAAAGTAATATACAAAAAGCAGAAGAATACTTTAATCTCCCTGGACACTCAGTAACAGATGTAAAAGTAGCAGTCGTTTTACAAAAACCATCAAAACTAGACTGCAAAGAGAAACAGCAGAGCTGCAATTCATTTGCAAATCTAATACAAATTAGGACTGAATAAAGACTTAAAATGGTTCTCTCACTACAAAGGCAACTTTCCCTCTCTTGGTATTCACACTTCCCCATCAACTGATGGGAGTGAGCCACATCCATACTGACTGCTGACTGAACAGGCCTCATTAACACTGTTCCTATGCAACTCCCTTCTTTTGATATGCTAGTATATATATATATATATATATATATATATATATATATATATATATATATATATATATATCCCAGCCTCTGACTTCCACTCTATGTATCTGACCAAGTGGTTTTTACCCATGAAAGTTTATGCCCAAATAAAACTGTCAGCCTGTAAGGTTTCACAGGATTTCTCATTGTTTTTGCAGATACAAATACAGCTACCCCTCTGTGAATTGTTACTGTACGTAGACATACGTATCTTGCTTTTAGTATCCCAAAAGAAAATATCACTATCATCTTGCAATTCATTTGCAAATTGAACACTGAGTGAATAAGTAGTGTCACTCTTAGCGTACTCAAGAAATAGTTTATTTAGCAGTGGGTAAAATAGGTATGTAAAATAATACTTATAGAAAGAAGACTTTATTAATATCACTGTTATTCAGTGGTAGCAAAGTCCCCTTGTGGTCTTTTCACAAGTTTTTTTTTATTCTGTTATCATGCACTTTGTTTGGCCATCATATAACACAACCATCCACAATATTACTACAGTGATACAATACTATCTGCATAACCATGGAGCGATATGATTTTGGGGAGGAGAATTAGCCAATTGTTTATATTCCTTAATAATCTCTGGTACATTGTCCACCTTTATCACATCCACATACTCCTGCAACAAACTAAGTTTTGCAAACCTCCATCCTAGTAGCTCTCAGTATGATTTTTTCCAAGTTCAAACTAGGCAATAACTATCACTGTAGCAATTAGCATCTTCAGACAATTGCCATTACTTTTCAGAGGGGACCTGTGCTCCAATCCTTATGTCCCACCTTAATGCTGTGGCTCCCCCTGCTTTCCTCATCCTGTTGTGTCAAATTACCAAACTCCTGACAACTGCTGATGCCAATGTAGTCTTTTGGGTAAGTTCCCCACTTTCCCCTTTCTTTAGCTCTGCTGCCACAGCACTCTTAGGTTTGACCTGCTCAACTGGCCCCATCAAGTGCTGACACTGTCCACAGCTCCACCCTACCAAGTACTCTCTTTAATCTACAGTCCCTTCTGCTCAGTGCTGATACCCCTCATTACCTTTGCTATTGCTGGTAGAGGCCCCTTAACCCCACCTTAACCGCCAGTAGTCGCACTCAATGCTCAGGCTTCCCCATTACCCCCCATCTCCATTGCCAGTGCCCCACTCCTAAGCTAGGGCTCCTCTTTACCTCCCCACTGACAGTGCTCCCTCCCCAACGTTGGGGCATCCTCACTGTCACCCCTTCCCCAATGCTGGAGTCTCCTAATTACTCTCCTCCCATCCAGACTTTGCCACGCCCCCGTTCTGTTAACGGTCTCTTCTTCACGACCGTTGTCCCAGCCACGCCCAGGCAAAGAGCGAACGGGGCGGGGGGAGGAAGAGCACTGCCCATAACCCAGCCCAACCGCCCCAGACTCGAGGCCACCGTCGAGTCGACGCTGAGGGGGAGGTGACGACGGGCCGCTTTGTCCCGCCCTCCTGCTGGGCGGGGATTGGGATCCGTCACCTGTCGGTCAAGGCGAGCATAAGTGTGGATTGGGCAGCGGAGCTGTCACTCCGCGGTTGGGCCGCTCCCGCCGCCTCCTCCGGCCCGTTGTTGTCACGACGTCGTTCGGGTTTTTCGCGCTGCCGTAGGGAGACAGGAGGGAAGCGGCTTCTCCTCCTCCTGTCTAGTCCCCGTTCTCCCGGGCCGGGGGCGGCGCCCTCGCCATGGCCACCAGCACCACGGGCTCCACGCTGCTGCAGCCCCTCAGCAACGCCGTGCGGCTGCCCATAGACCAGGTGAGGATGGGAGGCGCCCACCCTGCCCGGCTACTTGCAGGGAGAGGGGGCAGCCTGGGATAAGCCCCCTCCATGGCATCCCATCCCCCATCCCTCCTGTCCTCAACCCAGCCCCGGCATCTCTCCCTGCATGCTTCTCCTCCGCCCCCCAGCCCGTAGCACGGCTCTGTGTGTGTCTGCGGACCTTCCCCGTGCGTGCCCAGGCACCGGGGTGCCTGTGTGCACAATCCAGCCCTTTGTGCAGAAACGCTTGTGCCTGCATCCACCCATCTCTGACACTAGTATGTGTGTGCGCAAGATGTGATTAACTTGGGTATTCATCGGGTATGAGAGTAAGCGACAATGCTATTTGTGCAGGTGCACGGGGGCACCTCAGTGTTTTGACAGATACAAAAGAATACGTGAGATGGTATTTTTAATTGCAACACTTGTTATAAATTGTATTATAGATCTGTAATAAAATTGCGCCCATAATATAGTAATAGGTATATCTACAAATTGTTATGTGGTGGTTGATCCCTATGCGTGTGGGTAAGTAGTTTCACCAGAGGACTGGTAGAAGCCATACATTCTTTTCCTGGCTTTGTAATTACCTCTGTGTGGCCTCGGGGAAGACATTTAACCCTTTTTATTTTCAGCTGGAAAGGAGGGATAATATTGACTTGACCTCCCAGGGGTGTCATGAGTGTTAGTTAATGTCTGCAATTCATGGAATAGTCTTACATAAATACAAAGTACTATTTATTTTGTGCATATATCTATCTATATAAACACACTGTTTAATAATTAATATATACCTGTGGGAATTGCACTTCCTCAGTTACTTTTATCTCAGGATCTGTAAATACCTGATGCCTTATATTTCTCAACACATGGGAAATAGAAAGTATTACCCCTGTCTTAGAGAGTGGGAAACTGAGTTGTAGAGGTTGAGTGATTTACCCAAGGTCATATAGTATGTTTGTGAAAGAAATGGAAATAAAATGTGAACTTGGATGTCCTGATTCCCAGGATAAGCACTTTTACAAATATATATGTAGTGTTCATAAGAATTGTACTAGTACTGTGATGTATGGGTCACTAGAGAAACAATTTTAGAAGAAAGAATTACACTGTTTTTCTTGTTAATGTGTTAAAGCTGATCTGGGGCACAGCGTCTAAGTTTCTAAGGTGATAGAGTGCAAATAAAAGAAGCAAGGTAAGGAAAATAGAAAAACTGCTATTATATGTACATGGAGTGACTTTTAAATTTCATGGGCTTCACCAAACTGAGCGTCACAAGTGAAAAACAGTGTGGACTAAAAATTGAGGAAAGGAAACACTCTTAAAAAGAAGAATTTCAGTTTTAAATTATTCTTCTCCCCTAAAGATATAAAAGATATCTATGAGATATCACAGTTAGAAAAGCTCACAAAATCAGGCAATTCTAGTGAACTTGACACCAGGAATTATACTATTTAGAACTTGAATTGATTCAGAATGCATCTTGTATTGGTATCAAGGGCAGTATATGGCCTAGTGTCTGTACTCTTATTTCTAGATTGCAAGATCTTAAAGCAGGAACCACACCTTTTCTATTTCTGTAAAGCACCAAGAACTCACTTGGATGTTGTAAAATAAATAATAATGGATTTTATTTCATTTATGGCATGATTCCAGGACTTGACATTCATTATAACTTTCATCACTTTGTGGCATAAGATCACTTGTTAAAACTTCTTTTTATAAATATAAATATTGTTGATACACCATTTACAATTATTTATCCAAAGCCTGAAAGACCTCCATCTAGAATCTTAATCTATGTAGATTATAACCTGTCTTGTTCTAGTGTTCTGCAACAGATGCTTCTGTAAAATAGGTGCTTTATGAAAAATACTTTGTCCATATGGAAGCTATATGGAAGTTTCCAGAGCAATATCAATGACAACTGAGTGTGTAGATTATAAACTCTGTAACAAGAATGTGAAAATATTTTTATCCCCTCATTTTTGTCGTACCCTGTTCTATGGACTATTAATGTTCATATGTAGATGTGTACAAGGGAGAATTGCTGTATATTTTCATTAGCCATTATTTAAGCAAGAATAATGTTTATTAGAGTATGGTTTCAAGGATTTGTGAAATTATATAACTCTGTAAGAAATTGTATTTATTGGATTGCTTACTTTAAAAAATCTGTAAAGCTGAGATTTTTGTATAACAAGTTTCATCACAAGACAGATGCATAAAGCTACATTTAATTAGAGAGTGAACATGAATGTTAGATGTAATCAAGTGGGATGAAACAGTGGAAGGAAAAGAAAAAGGAAACAAAGTATTTGGATAAATTGTGTATGTGCAAGGGTTATGAATGCCATTCAACAATAAAACACTAGAGATTAAAAAAGCAGGTGTGGCTGAACAAGGAAGTACAAAAGGAGTAAACTTTATAATTTTTATAGTAATATAGTTAAAGCTACATACTTCTCTTGTATGGAAGTTGTACCAGTTTGGCTCTGTCTTCACTGCCACATAAAGGTGGAATTTTACAGCAAGATAGGTAATGCATGTTAACTGTTTGCTGTAAAATCATAGTGGAGACAATACTCTAGTTTTTACAATGATGTAGGTAAGTGAAATCAAACCAAGGTGGAAGGTGTAATATTGACTTAGTCTAACTATAATTTAGTAAAAATGCCCTGTATTTTGTCTCTACTAAAATATTACAGCAATAGGATTAACATGTTAGCTATTTTGCAGTTAAAATAATTGAACTAAAATATTTTTTGTCTGTGAAGACAGACTAAAACTTTGATTTAAAGATATGATTTTTTTCAGAAAAAGCAGGCCTGTAGAGGTGTGTGTGTGTGTGTGTGTGTGTGTGTGTGTGTGTGTGTGTGTGTGTGCGAACTCCCCCCCACCCCATGGTGTCCCACGGGGCTGATTCAGCCAAACGGCCCAGTCGTACAAGAGCTGATTCTGCCCCAGCCCTCCGGAGCAGCTGGGGAAGTGGTCTGTTTTGTGATCCTCTGGTTGACCACTTGAGATTGACTGGTCAACAGTGATTGATGTCTTGGGCACCCCAGATATAGGATGTAATTGGGTCCTGTTGGGCATCACTCAGGCATTGGGTAACCTAACATTTATTTCACTTCTACTTGCCTGTATATAGTCTTAAATGAAAATCTCTGAAGACGAAGACTAGAGTATTTTGGAATATTGTTTTTCACTTACAATATTATAGGAATATTCCAGAAGATAATTTCTATAAAACCTTTATTACTATATAAATTTTTAGTATATATAACAAAATCATGTTACCAATCTGTTTCCACTCAGATTTGTCATTAACCTCTCTTATACGCACTCTCTGCATGACTGTTTTGAACTCCTTCATATTTAAAAAAAATTGCGGTCAACATTTACAGGAAAAGCGCTCTCCCCCTCCCCCTCCCCCCAAAAAAATCCTGCATACAGGCCTGAATGGTTATGCAATAATTTGCATGTAGCCCAGGCTTTAGAAGGGCTATATGATGTCCTGCTTAGAAAAACAGAGTGCAGCCAAGGCTTGAAATCTATGCCAGGTGCCCACTACCTAGAAGTTTATTTGAAAGACTACGAAGGATGAATCCACCTGAGAGGTTCAAATCTAATGAGAGGACCATTCCTCTGTTTTCCTCTTCTGTGGCAAAAGGAGGAAAACTGGTGTGACAGATATGGCAATTTCCTGGAGAATCCTTGGGAAATTTTGTGTGTTTGGGGGCCATTTTATTAAATTAATGGTTTATGTACAGGGCCTTACCAAATTTACAGCCATGAAAAATTCATCATGGACTGTGAAATCTGGTCTCCCCTTCTGCAATCTGATCTTTTGTGTGCTTTTACCCTCTGCTATTCAGATTTCATAAGGTAGATTAACATATCTCAAACTGGGGTACTAACCCAAAAGAGGGTTGTGGAGAGAGTTGAAAGGCTATTTTGGGAGTGGATCATGATACTGCCACCCTTATTTCTGCACTGTCTTCAGAGCTGGGCTGCCAAAGAACAGCGGCTGCTGGCCAAGTGCACAGCTCTTCAGGCAGCTATGCAGAAGTGAGGGTGGCAGTACTGTGCTATTATCACATTGCCTTCAGTACTGGACTCCCAGTCAGTAACCACTGCTCTCCAGTGTCCCTGCTATGAAAACACTGCCTCTGCCAACCACAGTACAGAAGTAAGGGTAACGGTACCACAACCTCCCTACAATAACCTTGCAACCCTGTCCGCAACTCCTTTATGAGTTAGGACCCATATAGTTACAAGACTGTGAAATTTCAGGAGTAAATTTCTGAAATAATTAAAATTCCAATTTTTAAAATCCTCTGAGCATGAAATTGACCAAAATGGATCATGAATTTGATAGGGCCCTATTCAAGAAGATGTGGAGAAATTGGAGAGGGTCCAGAGAAGAGCAACAAGAATGATTAAAGGTCTAGAGAACATGACCTAAGAAGGAAGACTGAAAGAATTGGGTTTGTTTAGTTTAGAAAAGAGAAGATTGGGGGGGGCGGGGAGGGACGTGGCTGGGTGTCACAAGGAGGAGGGAGAAAACTTGT